TTACCCCCCCCCCCCCCAAATCCCCCCACCCCAGCCTACCCCGAATTCGGTTGACATTCCCGTCAACCATTATACGGAGGTACAAGGAGTTTTAGTTTGTTGAGAGGCAAATTATTTGTTCTTTTATGGGCTAAAATCCACCATTGGTCCTTCAACTTTATCAGTTGTGCACGATTGGTCCTTCAAATTTCAAAAATCCATAAATAGTCCTTCAACTTTATGAATTCTGCACCATTAGTCCTTCAAGTTTCAAAAATCCATAAGTAGTCATTCAGATACACGTCAACCCTCCATGTGAAACTCTTTTGACAGTAAATATTAAATGTTAAACGAAATACTAGTTTCATATAATACGAGTAAATTCCACTAGGTACGACTACTCCGTATTATATAGAGCTAGGATTCCATTTAGTTTTAACATTTACTGTCAAAAGGACCTCATCTGGAGGGTGGAGGGCTGACGTGTACTTGAAGGACTATTTATGCACTTTTAAAACTTGAAGGACCAATCGTGCATAATTCATAAAGTTGAAGGACTATTTATGAACTTTTAAAACTTGAAAGACCAATCGTGCACAATTGATAAAGTTGAAGGACCAATGGTGGAGTTTAGCCTTCTTTTATGTGTTGTAAGGCAAATTATTTGTTCTTTTATGTGTTAGTTTGGTTGTGAACTTGTGATTTGACTAAGCTTTTGATTTGTTCCCTGTGCTCCTCCCTCCAACATGTGTTCACTTTTTATTCTCTCTGTATTTCAATTTTTTTACTTCTCTAATTGTAATTTGTGAACAAAGCATGGTGGAATATCCCAAATATCCTCTAAAGCGTAAATGAATGATAAACTCAGTAAGCTCAAAAGATAAATGGGCCATACTTGTTAATCAAAAGCTTATGAAAAAGTAAAATTGTTTGGAGTTGAACCAAACTTTAATCTACAATAAAATAAAAATTACGGAGTATGTGGTATTTAATAAGATAAATCCCGAATTCCATCTTAACCGATATGACTGAACACTAAAATATCCAAACTCTAACCGAGAATAAAGCAATTTGAACTTGACCCAAATTTTTACCCAAACCCAAGGCTCGGATTGGGTGTCGGTTTATAATTTTACCCGACTTGACCCGGACCCGGATTTTTTACTAGATAAATTTAATAAAAAAAATTTATACGGAGTTCTAATATCTATTACGGAGTACTTCGTAATTAAATTTTAACTAATTGTGGTCAAATTTCTCAATTTTGAATGAAAAAATTTAAACTAGATAAACACGACGAGATGGAGGTAGGATGTTTTTAAAAGTAAACATGCACTAGAAAAATAATGATTTTATTACAAAAAATACGTAAAACAATTCATGTTAATAAAAGACTAGTGCTTGAACCACAAATAACTTGGATACGAATTACACAAACTTGTCATTTCTGTATTTTAATTTTTGGTTTTTAATTTTTTAAAATCATTATGCTCACTTGAGAAAATGCATAAATGGCAAGTTAGTGTAATGTTTAATATCATACCCGAGCATAAAATTTATTTCGTATTTAAATAATTACAGAGTATCACATAAAAACGAGGGCTTTAAACTAACACTATGTTTGGTTCAAGGAATTTGGAAGAAAAGAAAAGAAACATGTTTTCCCTCATTTTTCCTCATCAAAATGGAAGAAATTTAGTTTTCCTTCTTCTTAGTATATTTTGCCTTCTCATTTTTTTTTTTACTTTTCTTTTTTTCTTCTCTAACCAAACAAGAAAAATATTTTCCTTCTCATTTTCTTTTCCTTTCCCTCTCAAATTTGTTGAACCAAATATAGTGTAAATTTAACTAAACAAAGAAAATTAGAAAAGGACAAAAAGCAGAAAAAAGATTTTGTTGCCCACTTGCCAGCCAAATTGCAAGGAACATTATGGCCTGGCAGATAAGTATCTACTACCTCCGTTCCCCTGTATTTGTCCACGTTTAACTTTTGGAACTGTTCATCTAAGTATTTTGACTCATCAAATTCTCTCAGGGTCCGTTTGGTACACGGAATTGATGGAATTGGAATTGAATTGGAATTAAAATTCCATGGGATTCAATTCCATAGAATTGAATTCACCAATTCTAAATCATTTTTTGCACTATCAATTCCAAATCCACATAATTTTTGTGCTACCAAACATGAGAATTGGAATTGAAGTCCTCAATTCCAATTCCAAAGGTTGAATTCCGTGTACCAAACGGGACCTCAATGTGTGATGGTGTAAATATAGCTGGGTGGGTTAACCAGGTTTGACCTGGACACACTCGACCCGTAATATAAAACACACAACAAGAACACAAAGTATGACCTAGACCGGGTAAATCTCCTCAGTCCGAATTATATTTCTTACTCTATCTCAAGAGTGAACTTTAGTGAGAGAAAAAATTGGATCCCCTCCTCTATCCAATATCATCATATTTATAGAGGAGGATTTGTGACCTTCCCCTGTTCATCCATGGACAAAATAGGAAGCTCGTGGGAAGGTCACTGTAGATAATGGAAGCACTGTACAATCATGGACTTGCTACTAATACAACCAAAAAGCACTGTTCAATCAAAGACTAAAATGGATATTCTCAATCCAATCAACCCTGCAAAATGACAAACATCNTTGGATCCCCTCCTCTATCCAATATCATCATATTTATAGAGGAGGATTTGTGACCTTCCCCTGTTCATCCATGGACAAAATAGGAAGCTCGTGGGAAGGTCACTGTAGATAATGGAAGCACTGTACAATCATGGACTTGCTACTAATACAACCAAAAAGCACTGTTCAATCAAAGACTAAAATGGATATTCTCAATCCAATCAACCCTGCAAAATGACAAACATCCCTTTTACTGTGTGCCTCGTGATGGATGAGCGGCGGGGTGTCCCCTTGACCTCTGACGTGGTTCACCATGCCTGAGATACTGGACCAATGTTTGTCAAGTGAGATGATATGACCGGTCACATTCTCTCAAAGGTTACCCGGTCATTCTTTGTGCTCAACCCGTCTCTGGTCTTCTAGATTGTTCTTTGTAACATTAGGCGACATTTTGGCTAACGCCCAAAATGTGACCGATCACTTTTTTAGTGGAAGTGACCGGTCAACTTTTGACCCGTCCCAATCGAAGAGTTAACTTCATTTGATGATTGATAAAAGTGACCGGTCATATTTTGACCTGTCCCTTTCGGTTGTCCGGGTCGGGTATAGGAATATACCCATCAATGTGTAAGCCTAAATATAGTCATGTGTGATCTTGTTTGATTTGTCTTAACATATAGATTATTAATATATAATTTTTATAATTTTTTAATATACAAATTACAAGATAAAATGGATTAAAGAAGTGAATTGGATGGTGTGTAAAAATGAAAGTGGACAAATACAGAGGGACGGAGGGAGTATATACCAACTACCGGTACTCCCATGTTTTTTACTTTATTTTTAATTTAATTTATTTACTCCTCCGTCCCATTTTATAATGTATGTTTTGGTTTACGATGTTTGATTGAAATTATTTTCAAATTATTTTATATGACAAATGGTATATAGTGAAAAAATAAAAATTACATATTAAAATATTACATCAAAAGATCTATAAAACTAGTAGTGACAATAGTACTTTATTTTATCAATTTGCTAACGAAAATTAAGAAATAAAGTGAATGAAGTTTGACTTTGTGAATATTGAACATGCATTATAATTTGGGATGGAGGGAGTACGAAAATATATTTCGTATAAAATTAAAAAATTAAAATTTTACTATTTTAAGTTCACAAATAATAGGATGATCAAAGTTTAATAGAGTTTGTTTTTTAAAAAAAGAAAGAAAGACGAAAAATTCTAACTGCAATTAGGAAATTAAAGAAGTGATTAAACACATGCCTGGTCACCCATTTGACCAAAGGTTCAAGAGCACATTTATGTTTTCAAATAAGAATAACACATTTGTTTTATTCCATTGGTATTACCAATAATACAAAAAATTACTCCCTCTGTCCCAGAAACATGGAAGTTTTGATTTTTAAAGAGAGATTTAAGGAGAGTGTATTTTGGTATTGAATTTCCAAAAATGTCCTTTGATGTAATGAGTAAAAGTATGATTTGATGAATATATTATTAGTAAAAAGGTATGATGTGATAGGTAGGATATGAAAAAATAAGAGGTAAAAGTGACTTTTCAATAAAAGTGAGAAGTATTTTTTGGGACGGATGAAAAAAAAAGAAAAAGGTTCTGTGGGACGGTATCAAATGAGTACTACTCCGTAATTATTTACCATTAACTTGCCGAAGGAATGTAGTCCTATTATTTTGGAGTTTAAAATATAAACCTTTTATTTGAATATTTTATCTATACTTGGAAGTATAAATTTCAAAATTAAAATTTATATATAATCTGTATAAAAATTACAAAAAAAATTGACAAAACAAGAAAAGAAAATAGACTAAATTAAGATTAAATGAGTACTACTCCGAAATAGGAGTAACAATGTCAATAATGTTTGTACATAATACCAAAGAACACACTGAGTATGTTTTACTCTTATTTAGATTAGTACTCCACTTTACTTTAGTGAACTAATACCCTTTGAATCCAAAAAAAACTCTTCTACATTTTGACATAATCTCTCTCTCTAAAAATTATTTGCTTGTTGTGCATTAAGATGTTTGACCGAAGTTATTCTTAAATACTCCCGTTGTCTTTATTTTGATTACAAAATGAAAATTACGAGGTAAAATTCTACAATATTTGAAATCATTTTATTAACTAATTGGTACATCAATGAGAAATAAAAACTACATGTTGAAAATGTACACCAAAAATTCTACAAAACAAGAAATGATAAAAATATTTTATTTTATCAAATAATCAATAAAAATATATAAATAAGCAAAATTTATGAGGAAGAGAGAGAAAATAAAATTATAATCAAAATGAAGACGGTGAGTATTTCACATGAAAAAATAATGTAAAATTAAAATACAAAAATTATATATTTAAAAATTATATTTAAAGATGTACCATTGTACAAACTTGAGATAACATTGAGGAATGAATGTGATAATTTTTGGAGGGATGAATTTATATGCAACAATTAACAAATTTTAATTACTTTGCTTGTCCTTGGAGTTCTCTGCAAGTTGTGCTAAAGATTGAAGATTGCACCTCACGATCGTGTCCACAAACACGCAAGTCTCTTCCACGGTGTTTCCCGGCGGCACGTCCACCACGTACGACTCCACAACCACCGTCCCGTCCTGGTCATCGTGGACGGTCGTGACGGACCGGTAGTTGCTGAGGCGGTGGTCGCCCCCGACCACCGCGAAGCTAATGACATGCTCCTCCTCGTCCAGAATCTCGAGGCGTTCGGTGCTGCTGGCGGCAGGGAGGCCGGAAACCACGCTCACCTCCCGGAGGGTACCCACGTCTCCGTCTCCGACGATGACGTGGCAGCTCTTGACGAAGCTCTTGTACGCCTGCGGGTTGTCGAAGCGGCGGAGGAGGGACCACACCGCCTCCGGCAGAGCGGAGACACGCCGCACCACCGCGGAGCAGCACTGGCTGGGGCCTACCTCGTGGGCGTGGTGTCGCAACACGTGGTCCGGCGCCTCCGAGGCCGGTACTGGAATACTCAGCTTGGGTTGCGTCCGCTTGAGGAGGCTCGCCGCCGCGGTGGAGGCGGGATGGGCGTGAGGATTTGATTGGGGAAGGAGAATGGTAGAAGGCATATCTTGCTTTTCTTCTCTTAATTACTTGGGATATACTCTTCCCCCACTATTTATTTATATACACATATTTCTCAAGTTGGAGGTGCCACATAGTAACATTTTTTTTTATTACAAATTAAATATGATTTAAATAAGGGAGCGTCTAAGTTACTCGTACACTAGTTGCTTACACCAGTTCGTTTGGGGTACTTACGGTGCTCTGTTTGTGAGGGAGGGCTAGAGTGGGGGTTTAGAGGGAGGATTAGGGAGGTAGAAACCGTCATTTTCACAAACAGGGCACCGTAGGTATCCCAAACGAACTGATGTAAGCAAATGACAGGAGTAGCACTTGTGTCATTTTAGACCTACTCTTTAAATAAATATGCAATTTAAAAATGTGATATACCAAACTATATCCTAAGATAAACTCAATTACATTGAATTTATATTATAATTAAATATATTTTTTCTCATAATTTATAAACAAAGAGCGTCAGTAATTGACAAAAAAGATCAAAACAAAAAATGTTTTTAAGACCGGAGATATTATATTTAATCTTTGTTTATCTATTCTCATCTAGTTATCTTGTCGTTTTAAGGGCAATTTACCTACCAAAAACCAGAAAGGAACAATCTCAAACAAAAATTTCGAAATCAGGATTAGTACAACGTAAAATCTCATATCGAATCGAAATATTTGAATTGGTACGATATCTGTATAAGCTAAATACCGTATCATGATCACTCTTACTATACATTATAAAAAATTATTGTGAAATTTTAATATATAGTGTCACATTACAACAATGTAAACTTCTACTTCAGGGATAAAAACATGAAATTTATATTTTGATAGTTTCTTTATATTTTTACTTCTTTTTAGAGTGATTTCTTTGAAAATAAATTAGACTATAATCTCAATATTTTGCATGACAAGCTCCTATTATAGGTAATTGTACACTATATTAATTTTACGCTTCCAAGCAAACAAACAAAAATCATTAAGATTTGTTAGGAATACCCCAAAATTATATGTTTAGAGTATACACCATCTTTTCACAGACACGCAACGTCGGTCTTTTACACAAAAAGTGTGTGAGTCTATATGTGAAAAGTTAGTATGCACATAGGATAAACCAGGATACCTCTAGTCCTTTAGATTTTTCCAAAATCATTACATGCACAAGTTGTAATAAAAAATGGAATGAATCCAAGATCACCTCAAAGAAAGATAAAGATTTGAAAGTAGGAATCAACTTGCCCATAAATAGTTAAATATGGTGTCCTAGTGGGTCTTATATACTGTCTCCGTCCTTGAGTATTTATCTAGCTTTAATTTTTTTTGATAAATTATTTTTCACTTTTGACTTATAATTTAATAAAATATGCTCCGTATATTTTATTTTAATTAAATAAAATAATATTTTAAAAATATTTGATATAATAAATCTAATAAAACTCTTTTTGTATCAATATCTAAAACTTACAGATTTTGACCGAAAAACTCAAAAGTAGACAAATAATTACGGACTGAGGGAGTATAACCTATCTTTTTATTTAATCCACAAGTAATTTGTGTGGACGGATTGTGCATAAAAAAAGCGGAAGAGGCTTAAGCAGCGGAAAATTAGGTACGTTTTCTTTGAAAAAGAAGCCACTGATTGGTAATTAGGGAATAGATTAGGCGTACGGCGCGGCGGCAGCCTACTCCAAGTGGATGCTCAACTTGCAAAAGAGTCTTTGGATGGAGTCTTTTATTTGTCCCTCTTTTCCTTTTATTTATACATAAATTTCAATGTTAATTTGTTAACTTTGAATATTAAATGATTTTTGTACTTAAACTTCATTTTTTTCTCGCAAAAATACTCAAATTTTGAAGGAATTTCACAAAAATACCTGAAGTCGATTTCTAAATTACCGTTATGTCACTTTGGGCTTAAGTACAACTTTATATATTTCTAATTTTTAATTTTGACTATTTTTTTCTTTTTCTCGTATTCTCTCATTTCTTCGTCAAAAAGGGTGGAAAGTAAAGGACAAAGGAAAGGAAATCTGGAAGTAATATGAAATACGGCTACTAGTATTTTTGTGAAACTTTTTATGTGTTTTTGCAAGAAGAAATAATGTTTAAACATTAAAATGACATATCACTCAAAGTTTGGATGTCTTCAGTGAAATTTCTCCTTAATTTAATGAACTTTCTTGTTTTTGTGACTTATTTTTACTCAAAATCGTTGAAATTAAGTGGGTTTTAACATTTTCAATTAATATTATAAGTGAATTTCATTTGAGTTAAGTTCAATTTTGTTATATCTTGTTGCTCCGTATTACTCCTTTCCTAATTTAAATTTAAATTATCTATTTTAGTTTACGTAAAATTATTTTAAATACAATTTATTTAAGAATTAGAGCAAAATTAGAAAATAAAATTTATATATGAAAAAAGTATTTCAAGATCTCTACGAAACAAGAGGTGATATGCATATATTATTTTACGAAACAAGTAAAAAAATAATGAAAAAAAGTGAATAAATCAAGTTTAATCATATAAATAGTAAATATACAACTTAATTTGTAATGGAAGAAGTAACGAAGAATAAGACTCTAGTATGAATGAATGAATCTAGAGTTAAAGTTATTTTCTCTTCTCCATTCATAAAACTTAATTACACGGCGACACTTACAGAAAAATCTCTCATAATACCCCTCTATGACAAGTTATTGACCGTTGTAAGATTTTTTATAAGTAAAATTTCATCCATCTAAATCAAATGCAAAAACATGAAAGTAAAAACATCATAAAAAGCTTTATATTCATACTCCCTCCGTCCTATAATGTTCTTCCCAGTTCTGTTTATGAAGTTTGACCGACTTTACTTTTAATTCAAGTTATTTGATTGCAGGTGTAAAATTAAAAAATAAAATTTATATATTTAAAAACTACATCAAAAGTTCTATAAAACAAGAGGTGACAAGGTCATACTATTTTATCAAATACCTAGTGAAAATAGGTAAAGAAAGTGATTAAAGTTTGACCGTGTGAATAGTAAGTGGGAAGAACATTTCAGGACGGAGGGAGTAGTTTACAATTTTCACTAATTTCAATTTGAAACCAATTACACAAATTCATTTATAAAGAGTCAAGGCCAAACTTTTCCATTTGAAGGAGGAAATATAATGACTTAGAGCATTGACAATGACGAGTATTGTAATGGAATGCCATGAGATGACGTGTTACCTTCCGACCAATCAAATCAAGCGTGCAAAGAGTGTGGCATTCCATGGTTTGCAATGGCAAGTCACTCCAATTATTCCGGCGAAGTAGTGGTTACCAGAGATTTGAGTTATCAGGCCTGCCAAGTCGAAGTCTGAAGAAGACGACGGATAGACTTCTACTGGCTTACTTTCGATTTAGGTTAGGGTTAGATTAAAATAAAAAATGCTCCTGCTCTGTTTCTTCCCCAGTTCCGCCTCCTCGCTGCTTAGTCTCTACCGTCGGCAAAGTTGCAGATTTGGGGTTGCGATTACGGTGGCGGAGCAGATTTGAGGTTGCGATTACGGTGGCAGAGGGATTTGGATTTGCCTCGCGGATGCCTCGCAACGCAGGGTGCCTCACCCATAGGCACGGATGGCAGACTTCCACCTCTCTCTTCCCACACGGCTGCAAGAAGCGGCTCTCCTCGCCGCTCTTATGGAAGTAATTTTATCGTTATTCGGTGCTTGACTATTCTCTTCCTTTTTTGGCAAGACATTTTGACAATTATTTGTTTATAATTCCGAAGGTCAAATTTTATTTACTATCTTTCTCTATTTTCATTAATCATTTGATAAAACAATATTTTCATGTCACCACTAGTCTTGTAGATGTTTTGAAGTACTAGTAGTATTTTACATATAATTTTTAATTTTACATCATTTTACATATAAAACGATTTGAAAACAATTTTGGTCAAACATCGTAAACTGAAACACACAATATAAATCGGGACGGGTGAGTATAATAATACACTACCTGAAAAAAGAGTTCTTTTTATTGTTCTAGGATCAAATTATATCTTCTTTGTTTATGTACTTTTCATTTATTATTTGATAAAATGAAAGAGTCAAACCACCATTTATTTGATAGAATTTTTTGAAATAATTTTTAAATATATAACTTTTTTTTAATTTTAAATTTTGAACGATTTTTCAAATATATTGTATTGAAATTAACATCGGCAGAACATCATAAACAAAAAACATGACTCTTTTTTTAATACGCAGGGATTAGTATTTTCATTTTCCAAACTTTCAATCAAACACTATCTAGAACGAGAACTTATTATATATTTTAGTGTAATTTGAATAACTATGACTAATGTTATCATAATAATAGTCATCAAAGAAAGTTGGTGATGTGGAATATACGCTTCCTTGAGTTTATTTTTTTTTATTTTAGACAAAGTATTGTGTTAAAAATTCAATTAAATTTTTATTTTTCGGACTTTTGTACTTAACAAATTCGATGAAGTGCGTCACACCAATTCGCGCGATTAGACACGATAATTGGAGAGAGCCGCGAACGGCAACTTGTCATCCTTCACCGTGTCTATAAAAGCCTCTCGCAAATTTGATCATCAGCACAGATAATCCTTTCATGAAGAGCCTTATAAGGCGAAAACACACATTCTTAACCACACTAATGCAAAAATACCAGAAAAAACGTGCTTTGTGCTCAAATAGTCAAATAATAAAATTTTCGATGACAATTATTAATGAAATTTATGTTACAAATACACACCATTAGGAGTTGCTTACATAGTACAAATAACAACATTCTCATTACATTAAAAGAAAAAAACATCCTCCCCAAAGAAAACCTCACAGACATTAACGCAGTTCCATGAGGTAAAGGATATCAGTGCATGAAAAGGTCTTTATTAAAACAGAGTTTATTAAACTGATTAAGCAATAATAATGAGAATACCATGATTTAAGGGTCCATCCATAAACTTGCAGGTCGTCGCCATCGTCCAGATTACGATGAGAAATCCGAATGTCACTCTTGAACAAGTCTTCCCATGTTGGAAGCCTTCTCGTTCTTCATGATCATATGGAACAGCGTGGCGCGGTCCTCCTCCACGATCTCCCCGAGCAGCTCGTCCTCGATCTTCGGGGCTTGCCAGTGGG